CAGAAGATGGTGGGAATGCAGGCTGGTGCAGCCACTGTGGAGAACAATATGGAGTTTCCTCAAAAAGTTAAATATGAAACTGCCATTTGACCCAGTGATCCCACTTCTAGGAATATAGCCTAAGAAACCCAAAACATCAGTCAGAAAGAATGCATGCACCCCTATGTTCATAGCAGCACAATTTTATACCAGCTAAGATTTGGAAACAGTCCAAGTACCCATCAGTAGATGAGTGGATAAAAAGCTGTAAAAAGGACAGCATGAAGGGGCCTGGAGAGTATCATGCTAAGTGAAATAAATCAATCAGAAAAAGACAAGTATCACATGATCTCACTCATATGTGGAATCTAAGTAACAAAATAATCTGATGAACTGAGTGAATCCAGAGACATGGAAACATGGATCAGAGTGAGGAATCTCAGAGGGAAGGCATGGCCCATGGACACAGACAATGTGGCAATGAGGGCCTGTGGCTGGGGGATGGGGGAGGCGGGGTTGGAAGGGGTCAGTGGAGGAAAAGGGGGGAATACGTAATACATTCAATATAAAGAATTAGCAAAAAAAATTATTAAATTATATATATATATATATATATATATATATATATATATATATATATATATATGCCAGCAGATCTTCACTGTAGTGAAAGTGGACTGATGTGAGAAGGACAGCTGAAACTGAGAGGCATTTGGCCTCCTAGAGCAGGCAAGAGCAAGGGATAAGGAAGGAAGTCTGAAGGGACTGCAGCAATTTTCACATGCCCCTCTTAAAACTGACCCTCAAGGCTCCCTTTTAAGACAGGAAGGCACCATCAAGGAACCGCTGACAAAGGAACCCAAATTGATCAGGATAGGGACAAGAGAGATGAAGGAAAGGGAAGTAGGAAGTGCAGAGGGCAGGAGAAAGAAATATCAGGGAGTGAGCTTCCATATTCAAGGGCTTCTATATTCATTAGAACATGGGCCTCTGTGAAGGTAGACAAGTTTATCTGAACCCTCTCACTCCAGGAGTCCAGGAGTACTAATTTCACATGCAAATGAGCAACAGAAGAATATTGAGGACAAATATCACATATAACTATTATAAGAAAAAAAGAAAGCAAGGAGTATGAATGACTGTTAAGATCATCGAAAAGTGACAAGCAAACATGTGCCTCAGATTTACCAGAGGAATAAAACCTGTCTGATCCAGACTGTGGATCCAGCTGCAAATCTTCAGGAAATAGAGAACAGAAGAAAATGATCAACTGTACCATGAGTGTGCAATCGGCCAAATTCCTTAAATGAGTTTCCTGGAGCTACTATAACAAATGACTGCAAACTTGGTGGCTTAAAACAACAGAAATTTATTCTCACAGTTCTGGAGGCCGGAAGTCCAAAATCAAGATGTCAGTAGGGGCCTTAGCTGGGTCCCTCAGTTGGTTAAAGTATCATCCCAATACTCCAAGGTTGTGGGTTCGATCGATCCCAGGTCAGGGCATGTACAAGAATCAATCAATAAACACATAAGTAAGTGGAAAAACAAATTGATGTTTCTCTCCCTTCTCTCTCTGAAATAAATTTTTAAAAGAGGTTTCACATGATTTCCTCTGTGTTTCTCCTCTGCTCTTCTCTTATAAAACAAATGACATTGAACTTAGGCTCTTCTGTACTCCTGAATAACCTCATTTTGAGATCTTTAACATCAATTATTCTGCAAAGACCCCTTTTCTAAATAAGGTCAAATTCAGTTTCCAGGGGACGTATCTTTTGGGAGGGGCTGCCATTCAACTCATTACATTCTTCAAGATACATTCTAAGGTAAGTAAAAAAGGTGGATGAGGAACCATAGGTTAAGAGAATTAAAAAAGTACCAACATGTTTTAAATGGACTTGGAGAAGTGATGAAACTTCAGAAGGGGTGTAATGAGAATGGGGCATTTGAAATGGGTGCAGATCAGGTTCTATTTCTTGACCAGGTGGTTAACAAGAGTGTTCACTTTATAATAATAATTTGTTCACCCAAACATGTTTTATTTGGTTTTCTGGATCTTTAATTTATTTTACCATAAAGTTCTGTTTCAAAAAAAGGCAAGGAAATACACACCTTTGAAACACCTTTCTTTTAAATCCAGTATATTTTACCTTTTCCTTGGATACAGATAATCTGAAATGATTTTTATCTAGAGATTCTTAACTAAGTTGTATCTGCAAAAACCCTTTGCCCAAATAAGGTCATAGTCATAGGCCCTGGAGGTTATGACTTAAATGTGTTTGGGAAGAGGTGGGGACCATTCAATTAACTACACAGGTCAATTCTGGGACAACTGTCTGCCTTGGGCCACTGTCAGAGCAAGGGAAAGGGGAGTAGTGTTTGGCAAGAGCAGTCTGGCTCTAGTGCTGGAACAGTCTAACCTTTAAGGGAAGGTCAAGAGGGCTCAGGCTTACGAGCCATCCAGAAGCTGGCCACTAACAGATGAGCAGGTTAAGGAGGGAGAGCAGCAGAGCTGACTTTATTTTATTATCCTAAACTTCTGAGTCAGATTCTATAATCCCTACTAGCCAGGACACGGCTGTGCTCCTCCTACTCTTGGACAAAGCCAAGCTGTCACAGCAAGTGGATATCCAGGGACAGTAGGTAGATTAGAGGCTAGGAGTCAGATTGGACTACAAAGAGATGCAAAGCACAACTACACAAATAAGTAGAATCATAAATAGCTTCCACTTAATAAAAATGATGGCACTTTGCATTTATTTTTGCTTCTTTTCATCATAACCTTTCCTATGGGTATTGCAATATGGGTTCCCATGTAACATGAGAAAACAGGATTTTAAAGATGAAAGTTATATAGCTACCGTAGTAAGAGTCAGAGCCAGAATTTAAACCCAGATTATTCTGGCTCCAAAGCCCATTACCTTTCTAATAAAGCATGCTACCTCTCCACAAATTAATAGCCTACATCAAATTTTAGCATCCTGTCTTCCAACACCTCCTCTTTTCTCTTTGAACTCTTCCCTCTACCTTCTCATCCTGGGGTTCATTGGACATAAAAAGGTCAAAATATGTGTTTCTCTGCCAAATACCCTACATTAAAGAACATAACTTGGATAAGGTAGAAGGGTAAATATTTCAACGCCTTCTGAACCAGAATCACAGGTGTGGATTTGGACTGTGAACACTTGCTCTCCTGCGGCTGTGTCCCTCATGCAAGCTCTAGCAGGGATCTTGTACACAGTCCCATTTACGAGGTTTGTACATTGTAGCATCCTCCACCCACAACCCTCACCACCACCACTAACTGCATGCTACTAGTGATGTTTTGCAGGTGGTCATATCTAAGTAATTACTAGTTTTCCCATAAGGACCTACAGTGAAAAGCAACATTGATGGAATATCAAGGAAGTTGATAACACATTAGCCTCTACCTCAACCAGGAATTGATATACCACTTAATCTGTCCTAAAGATAATGTCAGTTCTATCTGTGATAAATATTTGGGTCAATAATTGTTTTGGTACTAGGCCATGCATGGATCCTTAACTAGCTTGAATGCAAGACCAAATATAACATCTGGTGCAAAATTTAACAGTATATTTAGCTCATTCTGTTTCAGACAAGGTAATAGGACTGGAATATTAAGGAGTTTGAGCCTGAACTGACATGTCTTTTCAGGCCTTTTGTATGAGTTTTTGGAAATTAATAATAATAACAATAATAATAATAATAATAATAATAATATCTGGGGAAAGGGCTTGAGGTATTGAATCCTCATCACCCAGTGAACAACAGCTCACCAACAATTTTGCACAGTTCTCAGTGTATATGACTCATGGCATACACCATTCCTCACATTCCTGCAGGAGTTCCTTTTCCTGCTCAGTCTCATAGAGCATTCTTCAATTTTAGGTGCAATGAGTACTTGCACCTATACAGATGTCATTGACAATAATTTGATTTTTTTGGGTGATAATTTCTAGTTTACTACATTTTTTTTTTTTTTTTGCTTTAATATTTTGAAATAGATCTGGGTCGTCTAGTTTGCTTTTAGTCAGAGCACTTGCTAGGAAACAAGATTGTAAAGTGCTGGTGCCCGGACGTGCAGCAGGGTTGGCTGGGAGCAAAACGTCATCGCAGGGAAACGTGTACTTCTTCGGATTACTGCTGGGCGGATTAGAAACCCGAAGATAAGTCAGTCCTAGGTTAGCCCTGATTTAACTGCCCCGGGTGTTTCTGGGCCAGCGTGAGTTGTTTGCTAGATCCAGACCAATATTCCACTCGACAAAATATTGAGTTAATTTTTACTTAAATCCAATCTAGGCTAATAATGAGGCTCCCAAGAATGATCAATAATGTTAACTAAATGTTGCCCGCCATCACGTCAGTCCAGTCTTCTGCCCCCATGCTTCCGTCGGCCCACATGCTTCTGTCTGTCAGCCTCAGCCTCCGGATCAGCTCTCGTCCCGGCATTGGCTGGATTCAGGAAGAGTGAAACCCATGATTTAAAGGGCTCCGCTTCCACCTGCCAGGCATCGCCCGCGTGGTTCCACTTGGCTTTGGCACATATTTGGGGAAATCTTCGGTGGTTCTTCATCTATTACACCGACTGGTAAAAGGAAAGGGAGTTTCCGGATGTGTCCCCTTAGTCACCTTGACAATTTCCAAAAGCGAAACTTGCGCTCTCGATCAGCTACACTGAGTCTGCGGGGCTCGGAGTCCCTGCCCAGGTCAGCAGCGCCCATCCGGGCGGTGGGCGGGGACGGGGCGGAGCCTGCACCAGGCGTGGCCTTCCGTGGGAGAGAAGGCAAAGCTTGGCTCCGCCTTCTAAAACACCCCCTGCTCTCTCCCAGCCAATCGAGGCGGCCTATGCAAATAAGCCCTTGTCGTCCGGGTAACCATGATGCACGTTAGCCAATGGGAACCATCCGCTCGTGCTTCGGCTCTACGATTGGGACTGAAGTAAGGAGCCATAGACCCAATGGGCTGTGGGAACGGTCCTCGGCGGGTTGAAGGGCGGGGATATGCAAATATGGTTTGAAAAGCCGGCGGGAAATCTGAGTTTCGCGGGAGGACCTTGGCGCGTAAACCGTATCCCTTCATTCATTGTCAGCAGCAGCTTCCTGGAGCCATTTTTCAGCTGCCGGCCGCAGCAACCGGGCTGCCGCCGCCGCGTTGCAATCCGTTGCATCGGCCGCCCCCGACGCCTCCATCCTCCCTCGGGGCCCGATATCCGTGCGGCCGGGACCCTCTTCTCTCCAGAGCCCCGATTATTTTTGGCCCCGGGGGCCCGTGCGGTGCCGAAAAAATAAAAAAAGAAAAGAGAGAGAAGGGGCTCGGAAGCGCCGGGCGGGGAGGAGAGAAGGAGGAGAGACTTGGAAACTCCGACTGCAAATAATAAAAGAAATTTGAAAAAATACATTAATATAACCTTAGCAATAAAAAAAAGAGCAGGAGCGAGAGATGAAAAAGGGGATCCAGCCCGCCCTGGAGCAGTACCTGGTGACCGCCGGGGGTGGGGAGGGGGCGACTGTCGTCGCCGCCGCCGCCGCCGCCGCTGCAGCCTCCATGGACAAAAGGGCACTGCTAGCCAGCCCCGGCTTCCCCGCCGCCGCCGCCGCCGCTGCAGCCGCTGCCGCCGCCGCCGCCCCGGGCGCGTACATCCAGATCCTCACCACGAACACGTCCACCACCTCCTGTTCCTCCTCCCTCCAAAGCGGCGCCGTCGCCGCCGGCCCTGTCCTCCCCTGTGCCCCCGGCGCGGAGCTGACGGCCGGCAGCCTCCTCTACACCACGCCGCACGGACCCTCCGGCAGAGCCGGGCTGCTGCAGCAGCCACCAGCGCTGGGACGCGGCAGCAGCGGCGGCGGCGGCCCTCCGGTAATGCCCTCCTGTCCCCACTGTCCCCGGCCCAGGTTGGGGGGAAGGTGGGTTCGCACCGCGCGGGTTGGTGGGCGGGCTGCCCCGGGAGGACGCAGGCCGAGCCCCGTGGGCCTACGGGCTGGCCCTCCCACGAGGGTTTATTGTTAGACTTGGGCGCTACCCTCCGCGCCCGTGGGGTTGGGGGGCTCCGCGAGACGCGCGGGGCAGTGGGGATCGCCTCGGCGCCAAAAACCTCAGACACTGAAACTTTTTCTTCGTGGCCCCCCTTCTTTTCCTGCACTTTTCCCTACCCCCACTCTCCCCTCCCCTCCAACTCGAAGCTTCCTCTTTCTCGGGCGTAGGATGGGGTCACGCCCCGGATGGAGAAGAAGGGGGTGGGGGAGGGAGCAGTGAACTGGGGAGTAGGGGGACCCTGGGGGAGTGGGGACAGGGGGACCATTGGGCTGATCGCCCTTCGCCGGCCTCCGAGGCCCGTGGGCGGCCGGGGGATCCCTAAGGCGTGCTGTTTGGAGCGCAGAGGTTCTGTTGGGGCCGCGCTTGTCACATTTTGGGATCTGTAACTCCCGGCAACAAAGGGACTGGGGGCAGTTGGGGGGGATCTGGTAGGGGAGGCGGTGGAGCTGGCAGTCGGGTCGGGCTGGGGCGTGGGCTGCCGGGGAGTGAGGGGCTAGCCAAAGGGCGCCCCGGCCTGGGCGCATCCTGGCGGCGGCGGCGGCAGCAGCGGTAGCGCCCGCGTGGCCCGAGCGCCCGGGCCTTCCTCGCCGGCCCCGGGCCTGCCCTTGACCCGCCTCTCCCCTCACCCCTTCCTTCCCCGCCCTGTCCCCCTCCCCGCCCCCCGGCGACGGAGGGCGGGTGCAGCCGTGTTCCCGTCCCGCCGCCCGCCCGGTTCTGTGTCCCTCTCCCCGGGACCCGCCGGTGACGTTTCGCACACGTGCGCGGAGGACGCGCCTGTGACTGGGGAGGAGGCGGCGGCGGGAGGGGGCGCTGCAGGGGGAGAGGGGGCACCCACTTCCTCCTGCTCGCCGGCTCCCAGGCTCGGGACGGTCCCGGCGCCCTCGCACCCGCCCCCGGCACGGCCACCCTCCCTCTCCGCTCCCCACCCCCCCGCGGGCGCCCGCCCTCGCCCGGCGCCGCCGGTCTGCTCGGCCCTCCGGGCCCCTCTCCCGCCGGCCCCCCACCTCTCCCGGAGCCTGGCTGGTTTCGGAAATGCCCTTACAGCAGCAGGTTAGTGGCCGGGACCGCGCGGGGGCTGCCGCCGCCGCCACGGGGGCCCCGGGCTCTGTTGGGGGGCTGCAGCCGAGAGGGTAGGCGGTCGGCTGAGCGGGGTTTTGGAGTGGGAACGGGGGGTTGGGTGCTGGAGGGAAATGAGTAAGCAAGAAAAATCGAACTAAGTAAATGCCCCGGCCTCCGGTTCTAGGGACCTCTCTGGGCGCGGGTGTCCGCCCCGGGGGGGTGGTTTGATGTTTACGTGTGTGTGTGTGTGTTTTCTTTTCCTAGGGGGGCCTGTGGATGGGCGATTGGAACCCGGAGGGGGCTTCTCGCCAATGGCCGAGTTGAGCTCTGCTTTCTGTCTTCCTTCCCTTGTGCTGGAGGGGGAGGGGGCGGGTCAGAGGGTTGGGTGTCCGTAAGGATTCCCAGGCCACCCGCCACCCCCACCCTTTGTCCCTGTAATTTATAAAGCGCCTTTGAGAGATGATTTAGGTCAGTATTTGGCTCCTCTTTTTTGTTGGTACTAGAAAGAAGTGTGGCCCGGAGGTCCGTCCACCCCCACCCCCACCCTTCTCCTTTTCTTCATTCCCTTCCTCCATGCCTCCTGTCTTCACCCTCGTGGTCCGGCTTGGCTCCCACGAGGCTAGAAACGTAACCAGACTCAGTTAAACAAATGGATGGTTGATGGTACCAATCGTTGACCTCATCTTGCCTCGGCTCCAAATGGGTTTATTTTTTATTTTTTGGAGGATCAAGATTTTGCAGGGGGTCTTTAAGAAAGTCAGCACACAAGCAGTACTTTGGGAAATGAGATGGGTTTTGGAATAATGAAAATTTTTATTTCCTTACGCTTCCCGATTTCTCCCCTTGTTGGATCTTAACTGCTTTACAGCCCCAGAGATACTTGCTGGGGATGTGTGATACAGTCTCAGTCAAAGAAGGTTGCTTTTTTTTTTTTTTTTTTTTTTTTAGTGACTAGGGTCTGCCAGCAGGGGGGAAACAGTACAAGTACTTTTATTAGCATTAAGTACTATTATTGACTTAACCGAAACTTGATTGGACATATTTTAAGCATATTTGCCCCCTACACAGTTCTGTTACTACATCGCAAGCTTAATCTTAAACAACCAGCTATTGACAGACTTCTTGGATTGGATTCAGATTTATGGGAGGGTAGTTTTGGTAATAGGAATTTGAGACCACCAGATTGTGCCCCCCCTTAGCCTGCTTGTTGGGCCAGATATGCAAAACTGTCTGTAGTTTTGTAGTTATATGTAGTTTGTTGTATTTAAGGGTATAAAGTATAAAAAGTGTATAAAGTATAAAAAAATTACCCTCACCACCTTCCAAGTTATTTCAAAATTTTGCCATGAGAACATATATAATTCTAAAGTCATGAGCCCTGAAAACAAAGTTTGCTTTTTTCTTATCAAAACTGCATTAGACTTTTATTTAATTCTTGAAGTTCACTGATATTTGTCCCCTAAGCAGGAACAACACCATGGGGATAGCTAAGTGATTAGCAGAGCAGAGAGACCATTTAAACACTTTGTGCCCAAGAAGTGGTTGGGAACTTGTGCTCAGGTGACCAGGATTGCAGACTCACCTGGATCTTATTCCATCTATGTTCTGTTTCAGGAACATCTGAGAACTTAACCAGGAGCAAATTCTCCATCTTTTTTTAAAAAATATATTTTATTGATTTTTTACAGAGAGGAGGAGCGAGGGATAGAGAGCTAGAAACGTCAGTGAGAGAAACATCGACCAGCTGCCTCTTGCTCTCCCCCAACTGGGGATGTGCCCGCAACCAATGTACATGCCCTTGACCGGAATCGAACCTGGGACCTTTCAGTCCGAAGACCGACGCTCTACCAATGAGCCAAACCGGCTTCGGTGAAATTCTCCATCTTTTTTAAATGAGAAAAAATATATGATTTCTCTCTTACTAGCTGACTGAATTTCATTTACAAGCTGTATGATCCTAGGCAAAAAACGTAAACAATTTCCTTTTCTGTTAAATAGAGACAGTAAAGATACTAACTTGAAGGGTATTTTTTAGGTTTAAATATGATAATGCATGCAAAACACTTAAGAATAGTGCCTGACAAATAATAGACACCCATAAGATGAGTGTGCAGGAATAATAATAAAAGTGGAATATGCTAATTAGACTGGTTGTTTCTCCAGACAACCTTTGGGGTGAAGGGGCAGGAGCTCCCATGCACGAATTTCATGCATCAGGCCTCTAGTATTTTTTATAACTTAGAGAAATAGCGTAAGACCATGTGTACAACCTTCCCTTTGTTGACACATTTGAGGAAAATGGTTAAACGTAATTAAAAATTTCTACCTAGTTAATCTGTTTGTTTTTTTAAACCTATAGAATAAGGCTATCCTAACACTGGGTAAAGTAGGGACTAAGTATTGACAGGCCTAGGTAGCGGTGGTGGTGTTGAACTGTCCAAGCATGGGCCTGTGCCTTGTTTGTGACAAATGTAGGCAACTAACTCATCCAACTAACTCATGCTGAGTTCCACTCCACGCATAACTCATGGACATGCCAACTTTTGAGTACATCTATGCTTAGTGGCTTTTAGATAACTGAACACTCAATTTTAGATGATGAACCGTTGGAAATGGAAAAGCTCTAGAGAAACAGTCAGAGGTGCTATTTTCTGGAACAGAAAGGGCTTCTTTTTCTGCCTCCTAAAAAGAAACTGAAATGATTTCATTCTACTTCTAGAAAACTTGGGCTCTATTAATGCAAGAGACAGTGGCCAGTTACATCTGATTTAATGTAGTGCAGTCATAGCAACCCACTGATTATACTTGGTAAAGAGCCCACGATGCTTGAAATTTCCATGTAAGAATGGAGGAACCATGGGTGCTATTGCTGGGTCTCTCTTTTTTTTTTTTTTCCTGTGCAAGTATAAAAGGAGAAAAATGCCAGATTCCTGTGGTTCCGTACTCAGTAGTCTTGCTTTTGTTGAGATATATGATTGATGCTAAGTTTAAGATAGTAGATAATTTTTAATCACTACTGACCCCATAATCGAAATTTTAATATAATGCAGTGCTCAGACTTGGGCAGTACAAATAGCTCAGTGCCATAATCAGTACCAAGGGCGCCACTCTAATCACCCTCTGAAACAAAGCACCCTTACTTAAATGTGGCTTCAGGAGCTAAGGAGCCCAAGCTTGGGAACAGGAAAGGATTTTTTTTGTTTTCCTATAAATCCTCACCTTGTGTAATACTTGGAAGAGTAGATGCTGAGATTAAGTTGTGCTCTGTAAAGCTAACTTGAAAACAGAAAATAATACTTTCAGCTTATGCATGGCTAACAGCACCTGGAGATTGAAAGACCAGGGAAAAGTTGCTTTTATTCTCATTTCTCAGAGATACAAGGCAGTAGTTTTCTTTCAACTCTTCAGTCTTTATATTGCCATCCCCATAGACATACCATCCACGCCTTTAACTCTCTTCGAAGGCAAAGCTGCAAATATTCAGTTAATTTTCTGGCTGGTTTTCTAATGGATTTATATTTATTCCATTTGTATGTCCAGTTTATATCCACTTTCCAGGCAGACCAATTCCCATTCCTTTTTAAAAAATATACATTTTGATTGATTTCAGAGAGGAAGAGAGAGGGAAAGATAGAAATATCAATGATAAGAAAATCATCCATCTGCTGCCTCTTGCACGCCCCACACAGGATTGAGCCTGCAACCCGGACATGTGCCCTGACCAGGAATTGAACCGTGACCTCCTTGGGCATAGGTCAACTCTC